GCCTCGGATAAAGCGGATGAAGATGGATGGATGGGTCACCTGCCCAAGCCAGTGAGCCTTTTGAAGTGTTGATTGATAAGGTTTCAGTATCAGTATCACCAGTATTTCTGTCTAGTACCAGATGAACAAACATTTGTACCCCCATATCATTTTATTTTAGTTTCTACAGTTCATCTAGATTTAATAATTCAGTTCAATTCAATCGATTTGGTAACCAACAACAACACATGTATCCCTCAGTTTACAATCTTACCTGTGAAATGAGAAGGTGACACGAAGACAGTTCTCTGCCCGTCTCCTCCATCTTGCGGTGACACTCGGTTTGTAGGTTCTCCAGGTGGCGACAGCGCTTCACCATGGACTTCACCTCTGACTTTATCTTATTAATGTAGAGGCGAGCCACTGTGAACTCTTCCTCGATCACTCCGGTGATCTCCACAGGCTGGAGACGAATGAGTGAGAGGAGACGGTTAAATGAAAAGAAAAAATCAGTCTAGTAGATGCTTGATCAGGATTGAGTGGGGACTGTTTAAACACAGCATGGGCGTTAAATCAGTGGAAAGGGAAGCATCTTAGAAACACTCTGGCACTTTGTATGCACGGCCATTAGGTTAATGGTCTCATTTAGCAGATGTAGCAACTTAGAAGCTCCGAAATGAAGTGTGGAGGAAAATGTATACACATCAATCTAAGCACTACAGATGATAGCGGATGTGCATACACGACATTCTGCATATGCGAGTGGTATACTGACTATATTGATTAATGTAAAGCTGTTGATTTAAGTCACGTCTATAAACACAGAAATATATTTTAAATGCTCATTCAGAGCATAAATTTACATGGATGCCAAACCAATCAAGTTAAAGAGAAATGCCTGAAAAATGACACTTTATCAGCAAATATTCATATGCATACACATGCACACGCACACATATATATGTAAGTTTTTTTTAATTTAATTGTCTCCTTTTTGGCAGATCTACCAGAGCGCTTTGTCACGGCTTTATCCCAGAAGATGCTTTGCATTTCACTTTGTTGGTATTTACTGTCTCTCTTGCTTTTACTTGCTTTTTTTATTTCCTTCCAGCCATTTG